GCAATCCACTCACCTCAGCCTCCCAAAGCATGGGATTACAGGCTGAGCCAACGAGCCCGGTCTAATTTTTTGATATATTGTAGAGACAAGGTCTTACCAAGTTACCCAGACTGGTCACAAACCCCTGGGCTCAGGCAATCCTCTTGCCTCAGCCTTCTAAAGTGCTGGGATTACAGGCTTGAGTCACTACACCCGGTTCACCTTAACTTTTTATTTTTAAGCCATTTAAGGTGTTTGAATTAAAAGAACAGACATTTTCAAATAAGGATTCTGTAATGAGAGACAGAACGCACATAGCAGAAATTACATATAAAAGCTCAATTCTATGCACCCTGTCAAAGACTTTGTCAAAGCCCTTGTCTGCTTTAAGAGTCAGCGGAAAAAAAATAAACCAAAACCCAAAGCCCTAACCTTTGCTCTGAGGAGGGTTTTGGCTCCTATCTCTTAGGACGTTGATTTCATAGACAGCACCATACTGTTCGAAGAGTTCCCGTAAGTCCTTCTCTGACCAGGTCCTGGGAACCTGGCCCACAAACATCTTGATAGCATCAAGATCCGGTTGGTCTGGGTGGTCCAGGGTGCCGTTCATTTTCTTTGAGCTGCATGAGATAAAATGAAACTTCTATTATGTATTCATGTTGCTTCCCAGAGGTAGTTTTCTTTACTTTAAAGATATCAACTACTTTTTGAAAAAGTAGGGGGGATAATTCTACTTCTTTTACTACTTCCATTCAATTTACCAATGTTCCCTGGTCCTCCCCTCACTATAGCCACCCATTTCATCAGATGCCAAACTAAAGTCACCATTCTGACTAGGACATCCCAGGTTTTACAAAGAAACTGACAACGTCACTCATTTCTTTAGCAAGATAATTCTCAGAGGAACTTAAAGAAAATGTCCATAAAATGAAAAAGGACTATTGATTACAAATAAGATTCAGGGCTCTTCAATGTACACAATGATAGGTAACATCAACTTTCAAAAGACTTAGAAAAGAAGCACTTGATTTCCATGGTCCAAACTAAGAAATGACTAGAATGCTGTCCTTAGGATGTGACTGTCTCATGTACAATCCAATGTTCTTAAGTTAGGTCTCCAGACCAAAACAACGCTTTGCCTCCTCAATTTCCACAGATGATTGTGTGCTATGAATACAAATGATGCTGCCATCATTCCAGTTTTTTTGTTTCTTTCTTTCTTTTTTTTTTTTTTGAGTTGGAGTCTCACTCTGTCGCCCAGACTGGAATGCAGTGGCCGCTCCCGGCCACCACAGCCTCGACCTGCTGGGCTCCGGCGATCCTTCCACCTCAGTCTTCCGAGTAGCCAGAATTACAGGCACGCGCTACCACGCCTGGCTGATTTTTTGATTTATTGTAGAGATGAGGTCTCGCCAAGTTGCCCAGGTGGGTCTCAAACCTGCGTTCAGGCAATCCATTCACCTCAGCCTCCCAAAGCGTGGGATTACAGGCTGAGCCACCGAGTCCGGCAGTTTTTGATGTCTAAGTTATCCAATTTACTGCTATTTCTCTAAGACTTCACCTGATCTACTGCAAGCATTTTTTTTTGGGGGGGAGGGAATCAGAAGCTCACGCTGTCACCCAGGTTGGAGTGCAGTGGCATGGTATTGGCTCACAGCAACCTTCACTTCCTAGGCTCAGGTTATCCTTCCACCTCAGCTTCCCGAGTATCTGGGACTACAGGCATGTACATACCAAGCTAATTTTTTGTAATTTTTTAAAGACAAAGTCTCACTATGTTGCCCAGGCTGGTCTCAAACTCCTGGGCCAAGCAAACCTCCCCTCCTGGGTCTCCCAAAGTGCTGGGATTACAGGCTTGACCCATCACGTCCGGCCTACTGCAATCATTTTAACCACCACAAATTCCCTCAGTTCTATCACACCAAACTTGTACTACACCTATTATTATTATTGGAATCTAAAGAACAATCAACTATTTTAATACCTTCATTCCTATCTGGCCACTGTCAAGAACCTAGGGGGATTCTTATACTATAAATGTTTCCACTCAGAACATACCATCTACTTCAATGTTCTTCATATCTTGCCACTGTTTCAAATCTAACTCTGAGCATTTATCTGAACTATTAATTTAAATTCCAAATAACTAGCATGGTTAGCTTTCCTCGTAGCATTTGCTGCTTAATTCAAGAAAATCGTATCACATCAAAATTTTCCAGGTCCTACTATCCAATCCTAAATAACACACTAGTTTCCTTTAAACAAAAAACAATTGTTCTCCCGCCACTATCTTCTGAATAGTGTTTGGAAATAATTAAGAATGTTAAATCTGGGTACAGTGGCTCAGCCCTGTAATCCCAGCAATTTGGGAAGCAGAGGCGAGAGGACTGCCTAAGCTCAGGAGTTCGAGATCAGCTTGGGCAACTTGGCATGACTTTGTATAAATCAAAAAATAGATGAGTGTGGTGGTGCATGCCTGTGGTTCCAGCTACTTGTCTGAGGTGGAATGATTGCCTGAGCCCAGAAGGTTGAGGTTGTGGTGGCTGTGAGCTATGCCAGCATGGGCAGGAGAGTGAGACTCCAACTCAAAAAAAAAGCTGAATCTATGAAAGTAATTCAACCTCCATCTTTTAATTCCTAAATCTGCCCACCCTCCCTTTTTATTTTTAGTTATTTATTTATTTATTTTTTGAGTTGGAGTCTCACTCTCCTGCTCCCGGCCACCGCAGCCTCGACCTGCTGGGCTCCAGCGATCCTTCCATCTCAGCCTTCCGAGTAGCCAGAATTACAGGCATGCACCACCACGCCCGGCTGATTTTTTTGATTTATTGTAGAGATGAGGTCTCGCCTAGTTGCCCAGGCTGGTCTCGAACCTGCAGGCTCAGGCAATTTACTCACCTCACCCTCCCAAGGTGCGGGATTACAGGCTGAGCCACCAAGCCCGGCTTCACCCTCCCTTTTAAAAAAATAAAAAGATGAAGATCTCATTCTGTCATCCAGGTTGGATGGCATGATCATACTTCACTGCAGCCTCAAATTCCTGAGTTCAAGAAATCCTTCTGCCTCAGCCTCCTGAGAGGCTGGGACTACAAGCGTGCATCAGCACTATGCCCAGTCAGTTTTGGGTTTTTTTTGGTAGAGAAAAGGTCTTTCTATGTTGCTGTTTCTGAACTTCTAGCTCAAGTGATCCTCCTGCCCTGGCCTCCCGGAGTGCTAGCATTATAGGCATAAATCACCACACCTGGCCTTAAATGTCTTGTAACTGAATACTCACAAGGGCTATTCTCATACCACCTATGATGAATCTAGCACTAGCTAAATGTCAAAAGTTGTAAGACAAGTGATATACAGGCCAAATCCTGGGCTCAAGCAATCCTCTCATCTCAGCCTCCAAACATGCAGGAATTACAGGTGCGAGTCATCGTGCTCAGCAGAGCTTTATTTTGAAAGTATATATTTGTTCAAAATCCTTAAACTATCTCTTCTCTTTCTATCTTTTCCCCCTCTCAAAATTTCCCCACTTTAAGCCCATCTCAGGGGCAGCATAAATGTTCCATCCCACTTTTTTCCCATCCAGCTGACTAAACTAGGGAATCAGTCTTAATCCAAGCTGATCCATTGACTAGACAAAAATCTAAGACCCCTGACTTAAACTTAGAAAAAACAAAAACAAAAAACAAAAGCACAGGCCTGGTCAATCAAGTTCCTCTACAGTGACACTGAAAAATACAACAGTCATTAGCTACATGTAGCTACTTAAACCTAATTTTAAGCTAGATAATTCAGTTTCACTAAACACACATAGCTAGTGGCAACTCCATCAGAGAGAGTTGTGATATAGAACATTTTCATCATCACAGCAAGTTCTACTGGACAGTACTGCTCTACAAACTCTGGAACTGGTTAACAGAAACAGGCAGTTAGTAGTGAAGAAGTAGAAAAGCTGCAACTAGACACAGTATGACAGAAATGGACAAGCACAAAGGGCTGGGGAAGAGGTAAGTGTCATGCTGCAACATAGATGGACCTTGAAAACATTATGCTTGGCCAGGCGCAGTGGCTCATGCCTATAATTCCAACACTTTGGGAGGCTGAGGTGAGAGGATTGCCTGAGTCCGCAGGTTCAAGGCCAACCTAGGCAACTTGGTGAGACCTCATCTCTACAATAAATCAAGGAAAATTAGCTGGGTGTGATGGCACGCACCTGTTGTTCCAGCTACTTGGAAGGTGGATGCAGAAGGATCGCCTGAGCCCAGCAGGTCGGGGCTGTGGTGGCTGTGAATGTGCCAGTATACTCCAGCCTGGGCAACACAGTGAGACTCTGACTCAAAACAAAAACATTACGCTTAAGTGTCAAAAAAGCCAGTCCCAAAAGGCCACATTTTTTATTTTTTGAGTTGGAGTCTCACTCTGTCGCCCAGACTGGAGTGCAGTGGCCGCTCCTGGTCACCGCAGCCTCGACCTGCTGGGCTCCGGCGATCCTTCTGCCTCAGCCTTCCAAGTAGCTGGAATTACAGGCGCAGGCTATTACGCCTCGCTAATTTTTTGATTTATTGTAGAGATGAGGTCTCGCCAAGTTGCCCCGGTGGGTCTCAAACCCGTGGACTCAGGCAATCTACTCACCTCAGCCTCCCAAAGCACGGGATTACAGGCTGAGCCACCGAGTCCAGCTAAAAGGCCACATATTGTCTGAAATACTCAGCATAGGCAAATCTAGAGAGACTGAAAGTAGGTTAGTGGTTGCCTAGGAATGAGGACGAGGGAGGGCTTTCTTTTTGGGGTGATGAAAATGTTCTGGAGTTAGATAGTAGTAATTGTTACACAACTTTGTGAATACACTAAAAAAAATCACTAAGACAGGGTCTCGGCTCTGTCATCTGGAGCAACAATCATAGCTTACTACAGTCTCCAATTCCTAGTCTCAAACAACTCTCCTGCCTCAGTCTCCCAAGTAGCTGGGACTACAGGCACATACCACCACACCCAGCTAAGTTTAAAATATTTCTGTAGAGATGAGGCCTTGCTATGTTGCCTAGTGATCCTTCTGCCTTGGTCTCCCAAGGTGCTAGGATTACAGATGTGAGTCACCATGCCCAGCCTGACTTGCATGTATGAGAATTCTATCTCAGTTGGGGAAGAGGAGGACATCCAGGCTGGAAGGATCGGGGCAAAGCCAGGTCATGCCACAACCCAAGTTATGAAGTAGTTAAGAGGGCAAGAGGAGGCACCCGCAAAGTGAGCAGAATGTGTATCCTGGGGTCAGAAGGTGAGAATTTCCAGGTCTTCTAGTTGCGGAGCCTCTGTTATATTCCAGTCCAATCCACACGTGTCTTTATGACAGGCTTTTTCACATATGCTAGCTTGAGTGGACACCTGTTCCTTGCAGTGAAACAGGCCGGCAAATGGTACTTTCATATCTATTTAAAAATGGTTTCTAGCCAGGCTTGGTGGCTCGGCCTGTAATCCCGCACCTTGGGAGGCTGAGGTGAGTGGATTGCCTGAGCCCGCAGGTTCGAGACCCGCCTTGGTAACTTGGCGAGACCTCATCTCTACAATAAATCAAAAATTAGCCAGGTGTGGCAGCGCGCACCTGTATTTCCGGCTACTTGGAAGGCTGAGGCGGAAGGATCGCCGGAGCCCAGCAGGTCGAGGCTGCGGTGGCCGAGAGTGGCCACTACACTCCAGTCTGGGAGACAGAGTGAGACTCCAACTCAAAAAAAAAAAGGTTTCTTTCTTTGTTGGGCTCGGTGGCTCAGCCTGTAATCCCAGCGCTTTGGGAGGCTGTGAGTGGATTGCCTGACCCGCCTGGGCAACTTAGCGAGACCTCGTCTCTACCATAAATCAAAAAATTAGCCAGGTGTGGTAGCGCGCACTACATTGTAGTTCCTGCTACTTGGAAGGCTGAGGCGGAAGGATCGCCAGAGCCCACCAGGTCGAGGCAGCGGTGGCCGGGAGCAGCCACTGCACTCCAGTCCGGGTGACAGAGTGAGACTCCAAATCAAAAACAAAACAAAACAAAACAAACAAACAAAAAGAACGGTTTCTGAAAACATTCTGGTATTCATTTCTCTCTCTCTCTCTCTCCTTCCCATTACCTATTGACTTTCCTTTGATCGTTATACGAATAGAAGTAATTCAGACACTTACCCAAGTACACAGATAAAAATATTTGTTGCATTCCGAACTTCAGCCACTACCCACCCCTACAAGGTCCCTCTGGCTCACTTACTGTGTGTGCCATGGAAAAACTGGATCAGAAGTGTGTCAGAATGAAAAGGGCCCAGAAACACTGGCCTCAGTTACTTACCAGTTGCTCCCTAGTGAGAACAAGACAGAGTATGTCTATGCTGCAAGGAAGTAATTTTCATTTGAATAAAGGGAAATCTTTCTGTCATGTGGGGTGTTAGGTACTAGAAAAGGCTATCAATAATTGTTTTAAAGTCATCATCCAACAACAGAACAGTTACAATCTGCTTTTAAAAGTTTTCAGCCTTCTTCCCTGAGGTATGGAGATAATATCTGAAAACTTCATCTCTGCAATCATCTTTAATTACCAAAAAATGTCAAAGTGCGTGTCATTCATTCAACTGTAATTCCCAAGTTCTTACTTTGGTGCCAGATACTACACACTATAGGGCTCTTTAAAAGTTGAGCAATACCTGTCCTGGAGGAAATGACCCTGAAAAAGTAGGACACAACTATAATACTCCACAAATCCTTTAACATATGTATAAAAATTTTGTTAGACATGGCTAATGTAGTTTTACTTATTTGGAAGAAGGAGGAGGTGTGTGGAAGGCATCTAAGCTGAATGGACTAGGTGACTGAAAAAGTGCCATATGGCATGGAGGAATGAAGCCAAAGGGTGATGAAGAAAAGGTGAAGGCTGAGAAGACAAGGGAAAAGAGAGTGCGATAACATTAGAAAGGGAGAAAAAGGACTTGAGAAAGTTGTGGGAGGAATACAGATACATCGGGAAAAAAAGAAAACTCATTTGAAAATCATTAAGAGTAAGGCGGTAAGTTGGAGAGACCTGGTGAAGGGCTTTTCAGGTTATAGTAGACAGGCTTAGACTTCAAGATTTTAGAATAGGAGAGTGATCAGCTTTGACTTTTTAAAGATACCTGGCAATAATCTAGAGGATGAAATAATCTGGGGAAACATAAAATCAGAAGGATTTTGAATAAACTAGCACCTAAGACTAGGGCCCAGTCTCAGGCAATGCTGAGAAATTTTGGGTCAGGACCACTAGGACTTAGGGTTCACTTTTAAGGAGGTGAGGAAGAGGAAATAATGACTAATAACTCTTGGGTTCTAGTGCAGACAATATGAAAAACTGGTTTTTTTGTGGTTTTTTTGGTAGGGAATGCCTCCAAATGGAGGTGACCAATGGGTAGTATTTAGAATAAAGTCACAGATCTCAGAAGACACTGGGGAACAGATACAGAGATGTGAGAATCAGATAAGCACATCAGTATCCCCTTAAACAATGGAAGAGCAAAATTTAAAAAGTCTACACCACCACCCGTGAAGAACACCCATATCTTGGGGTACAAGTAAACAAAGAAGAAACAGCGAAAGCTTAAGACAGATCAAAGTAGAATCAAGAATATCGATTACAAGTAAAAATAGGAACCAGGCCCGAAAAAATTTTTGAAATCACTTCACTGAGAAAACCACTAATGTCAAGCCTCCTGCTAAAACAGTACTTCACTGAAGAGTGAAAAGAAGGGCTAAGAATTCCAGAAAGTGATGGCACACCATTATTAAGAACTTTCTTCTTTCAGCTCCTTATTGTCTCTGCAGTGCTTTGGTATACCTAAGGACATGCAACAATGAAAGAGTTGATGGGTAACTGCTCAATGACACCTGAGGCAGCTTGGACTAGTGGATGAAAATAAAAAGATATCATTAAACTTGTACTCTGAGGCCTAAGGGTTGACACCAGCTATCCTCAGGCAAGGCAGTTATAGCCTCTCTCAACTGGGTTTCTCACTGTAAAATAGGGGCAATAGCCTATGCCCAGTTCGTTTCACAGAGCTTTGGTGAACATGAATATCTAAAACAGATGGAAATATACTTGGGAAAAAAAGAGCCGGGCCCAGTGGTTCACGCCTGTATTCCCAGCACTTTGGGAAGTGGAGGTGAGAGGACTGCCTGAGTCCAGGGGTTTGAGATCAGCCTGGGCAATCTGGTGAGACCACACTTCTACAATAAATTTAAAAAATTAGCCAAGCGTGGCGGCATATGCCTGTGGTTCCAGCTACTTGGAAGGCTGAGGCAGAGGGATAACCTGAACCCAGCAGGTTGGGGCTGCGGTAGCCGAGTGTGCCACTGCACTCCAGCCTGGGTGACCTCCAGCCTGGGTGACTGAGTGAGATTCTTACTCAGGAAAAACAAACAAACAAACAAACAAACGATATGGCAATCTACTCCCCAATTAACTCTAACTCAAAAAGACTTGTATTAGCCGGGCTCGGTGGCTCAGCCTATAATCCCATGCTTTGGGAGGCTGAGGTGAGTGAATTGCCTGAGCCCGCGGGTTCGAGACCCGCCTGGGCAGCAAGACTTCATCTCTACAATAAATCAAAAAATCAGCCAGATGTGGTAGTGCATGCCTGTAATTCCGGCTACTTGGAAGGCTGAGGTGGAAGGATCGCCAGAGCCCAGCAGGTCGAGGCTGCGGTGGCCGGGAGTGGCCAATGCACTCCAGTCTGGGCAAGAGAATGAGACTCCAACTCAAAAAAAAAGGCTTGTATTAAGCCCATTAGCTCTCAAATTTCAGTGCACATGAAAACTATACAGGATACTTGTTAAAACAGTTTCAAGTCCTAATCTAGCATTAAGAACATCTGAATTTTTAAGTTCCAGGTAACTTTTACACAGTGGTACATGGTCCAGGCTTCATGAGATACTGAGTGAGTTCAACCTCTTAAAAAAATAAGAAAATAAGCTGAGAGAAATGATGTGTTAATGCTGGGTTGAACACTAGGCAGTGGCAGAAAGCACAGAGAATGTTATAGTGAAAGAGTATTTGAGCCACAAAATCCTATTTCTAGGTGTCATAAATCCTAAGACATGGAAATGTCTTTATTGTGTATTCAATCTCTATGATGATAGTCACTGTAATCTCACCTGTTATTTACAGCTGAAATAAAATTTTAGTAATAAAGAACTCTCATAAAAAGTCACGATTTAAATTACCATTATTTTGGACACTATAGAGAAGTCATAGGATCCATTTCAAAAGAGCAAGACAGCTACCTTTGAGGTCCCCCTAAACTATTCCACAAAGAATTGTTCAATAACTACTATTATCCACAACTGTTACACCTAATCCCAGTGTAGACTGATTTGTACATAGAGGCCTAACCTCAAAGACTTGCACTAACACCTGTCATCTAGAGAATATTCCACCATTTAATATTCTTGGCTTTGAATAGCCTAAGGCTCATTTGCTTGAGGTTCCAAGATATTTTAAACCTGGCTAAAGTGACTGAAATCAGGGGTTGGAAATGGGTCGTTCATTACAAAGTCCAGAATTTAGGTTCCCTGGAGCTACAACTCAGGGCCAGGTTGGCATTTTGGCTGTGTATAATAGCAGTTCGTGGGTAGTACTGCAAACTAACAAAGTTTCTCATCCTCATAATTTATTTGGGCAAATTGCCAATCGAGATTGATCCAGTTTTGCTTTTTTTGGAGGGTGGGGGACAATTTGATGTTCCTGAAATCATGTGCCGAGCTGCATTTTCAATTAGATTGGGGAAAAAAATCAAGGCCCAGGATTACACTTTGCATGTCAATACAGAATGTTGTAGACAATACGAAATACACCTTAGCTATCAGTCTCCTTTTTGATATGAGTCTAAGAAGTTAATAATTTAAAAAATAATAAACAAAACACTTCCTTCCCAAAACATTATTTGAAATTGCATACCTAACCCAAAGCAATAAAGCTTCAGTTAAAAAAAAAAAAAGCCTTAGAATCTATCATATGGGAAAAACACCACAGCTTAAAGGGATTGGAGCCGGTACACCTGAACTGTTATTACAGGTCATATATCAAGTGCACCCTATGTAAAGAACTCAGAAGCTAGACATGGTGATTCATGCCTATAATCCCAGCACTTTGGGACACAGAGGCAAGAGGACTGCGTGAAACCAGAGGTTCAAGACCAGCCTGGGCAACTTGGCAAGACCCTGTCTCTACAGTAAATAAAAAAATTAGCCAGGTGTGGTAGCGTGCACCTGTAGTCCCAGCTACTCAGAAGGCTGGGGCAGAAAGATTGCCTGAGCCCAGCAAGTTGAGGCTGCGGTAGCTGTGAGCATGCCACTGCACTCCAGCCTGGGTGACAGAGTAAGACTTCAACCAAACCAAAACAAAACAAACAAAAAACTTAAGAGCCTTGAAGAAATTAGTAATGAGATAGAATCATACTACAACTGAAAATAATGGCATGAGAATTTGGATTTGGTTTCTTTGCCCAGTTTTTTCTTTCCTTTCTTAAGGAAAGGAACCAGCTTAATTAAATAACAAAGAAAACAGCCCAGGTCCTCTGCTTATGATAAAAATTAGACAACAAAAATACTTACACGGGACTGGAATTCAAAGAGCAATGATCCACCATCATTTCTGGAAGGAAATCCAACTTAAACGCAGCCATCACCTCACTTTCCCCTTCAGAAGCCAATGATATTAACTTGCTGCACTTGTCTGATCCACAAATACACACAGCTTTAGCTTCCTGGGCCCCACAAAAAACACAAAGTGGAAACAGGAGCTCAGGGAAACGAGCAGTAAGTGCCACAGAAAGAGGCAGGACTGGGGAAGGGGCAGGGAAAGGGAGTACTGGATTAAAATGGGGATGTGACCATGTGAAGGGAGGCTCAGCCCAGAACACAATGAAAAGTGCTGATGCGCCAGGCTTGTTTTGTGTGATTTTCCCTGGCGAAGCAGTACGAAGTGCACTGTCAGATAAATAGAGTGTCAGATCCATGAAGATAGCAGTGGCTAACAGAGCAGAAGAAACACAAACTTGTTTCACATCCTCCAAACTCATCTCTGCAAAAATCAGTTTTTGAGGTCCCCCAAAGCCTGAAACTACCTAAAGCAAGAAAGGGCTACCTCATGTGGTTTGAAAATGCTTACAAAGAAGAACTGGGTTCTTAACCTTGGTTTTAAACTTAGTTTCCATGTGCCAAAGAAAGCAATGAGCACAGTGCTTGGGTACAAACTAACTTCTTAACAGTCATATAAGGAGGCAGAGGCAAGCTGGTTGAGTAACTAGCCACCAGAAACTTACCACTCACATTCAACTACCAACCTGGACCAACCTTCCCTTCTTGATAGTATTGAGAGCAAAGTGTGCTATCTGATGGTTTTTCATCAGAGTGGAGGACTTTAAAAATCCTTAGTTCAGTAACTCTCATTAGGTGGCACAGGTAAACTTTCTCTACTAACTCTGAATCTTATCTTGCCAGAAAAGAAAAATGGAATAGTTATATTCTGCCTCTTGATAGCATACTAGGAAATATCTTTTCAGCTGCTGTTGTCCTTTCTAAAGAAACAAAAAAACAAAAACAAAAGCCACCACAGGGATGATAATGAAAAAGAGCTAGGACCTACCAGGGACAAACAAACATGTAAGGGAAGAACTGAGGAATGTAGATGTAGACTACGTCTCTTTGTGCTCTTTTTCTGCCTTTAAACTGCTGCTTAACCCAAGACTCACAAGTGCACACACAAAACTTCAATTACGGGTGAGCAGAGAGGTGGATATACTTAGCAGTAAGGCAGATGTGTGCTCCCGTTCTCAATTTAGCTTCACATACCCCCAACAACAAATGGTGGCATTTCAATATTTAGGCAGTGACTCTAAAATGATCTCTGTGAAGGTTCCAGCATTTCACAAGCTTTCTTCTCCATTTTTATCCTTAGGGTTGCCTTACCTCAATGCTTTCACTTCACCCAAGTTCAGTTCACAAACACAGGGAACTTTGAAAAAAAGAAGTTACGTTCAGCCTGTAAAGAAGTAAACGAATGAACTCCTAAATACAGTTACTTCAAAAAAATAAAGAAAGGCAACATGTGATGATATAAGTCTTCTAGTCTGTATAACAATGGCTGACACCTGTCTGCATCTGACTGAGGAGGATAGAGACCGTCGTCTGTTCAATGTCCAGACCTAACCATGCAAATCTGGAGCTGTAACAGCAGCTAAAAAAACTGCATTGTTTTTTTTTAAGCCGGGCTCAGTGGCTCAGTCTGTAATCCCACGATTTGGGAGGCTGAAGTGAGTGGATTGTCTGAGCCCGCGGGTTCAAGACCCGCCTGGGCAACTTGGCGAGACCTCATCTCTACAATAAATAAAAAAATTAGCCAGGCGTGGTAACACGCACCTGTAGTTCCAGCTACTTGGAAGGCTGAGGCGAAAGGATCACTGGAGCCCAGCAGGTCAAGGCTGTGGTAGCCAGGAGCAGCCACTGCACTCCAGTCTGGGCGACAAAGTGAGAATCCAACTCAAAAAAAAAACAAACTGCTTTTTCTATTTTATCAGAGACGCTGGCTCATCTGATCTACTACTTTGGAAGTAGAAGGGGCAGGAGTTCTCCTTCATGCTATTAACAGCAGAAGCAAAAGCAAGCTGCAAATGAGAGGAGGCTGTGCAACTGACACACAGTATACAGTTCATCCAGCCCTGACTGTTGGACAGGCAGAAGGTGGTAACCCTACCTGGGACTGATTAGGTTACTGGTTACATTTGTCCTAGTTTCTCCTATATACAATGAGGCTGATGACATGCCTCTTCCTATAGAAGTTGCCTGAACCAAGTAGTAACTGTGAGTCAACAACCAAATTAGATCTATTAGTTCAAGAATTCCTTTAAAAATGAATCAACAAATTTCAAGAAATCCCACTGGTTATTGTGTTCTTATTTTTATTTTTTTAAGACACTTGTGTTCTTTTTTTTTTTTTTTTAAGAGACAGGGTCTTGCTCTGACACCCAGGTTAGAGTGCAGTGGCATGATCACAGTTCACTGCAGTCTCAAACTTCTGGGCTTAAGCGATCCAGCCTCTTGAGTAGCTGGGACTTCAAGACTCATGCTACTATACTTGGTTAACTTCTACTTTTTTTTTTGAAGACAGGGCCTTGCTAGGTTGCCCAGGCTAGTCTTGAACTCGTGGTCTCAAGTGATTCTCCCATCTCAGCTTCCCAAAGTGCTGGGATTACAGGCATGTACCGCCATGCCAGTCTGTTTTTAATATTTACTAAAAATACATAAATTCTAATTGTATCTCTACTTTAAAACATAATCACATCTATAATGAAAAGTACTTAAATGGAGACTTTACTGAGTTGCCAGGCACTACTACCCAGTGTATCAAAGGATGTACACTCCTCATAGTAATTTTCACCAAGCCAAAGGCTGGGAAACACTGATTTAGAGCAAATGTTTAAAACCATTTTTTCCCAGTCAGAGATCATTTGTCCAAAAGAAGATTCTAGAATCCCAATTTATAAAACAGTTAGAAAAAGAAAGCAGGGAGTGGCAGGTCCACAAATTCTCTGTACTTATACAGTTATTAAAATTCATTTTATGGCCGGGCTCGGTGGTTCAGCCTGTAATCCCAGCGCTTTGGGAGGCTGAGGTAAGTGGATTGCCTGAGTCCGCAGGTTCAAGACTCGCCTGGGCAACTTGACGAGACCTCATCTCTACAATAAATCAAAAAATCAGCTGGGGTAGCGCATGCCTGTAATTCCAGCTACTCGGAAGGCTGAGGCGGAAGGATCGCCGGAGCCCAGCGGGTCGAGGCTGCGGTGGCCGGGAGCGGCCATTGCACTCCAGTTTGGGAGACAGAGTGAGAGACTCCAACTCAAAAAAAATAAAAAATAAAATTCATTTTATGATTTATAAAGGAATATTTCTTTAAAAAACACACAAGACGAAAATGTTATTACATGAAGGAGGGCACTTCTTTTTAGGCAGGTCAATGTTATCTCAGTATATAATTAAATTCAACATGCTTTGGGAAAAGAAAGCACAGAAATTAATCACAAGTCACTCAATTTTAGAAAACAGTTATATAAAGTTAAATGATAAAAACAATTATGGGAATACAAAAACGCAGATATTAAAGGAAATTAAAAAGCAGAATTAAAAGGTTGGGCGCCGTGGCTCAAATCTGTAATCCCAGCACTTTGGGAAGGCCAGGCGAGCGGATTGCCTGAACCCACGGGTTCGAGGCCAGCCCAGGCAACTTGACCAGATCTCATCTCTACAATAAAATTTTAAAAATTAGCTGGGTGTGGTAGTGCACGCCAGTAGTTCCAGCTATTTGGAAGGCTGAGGCGGAAGGATTGCCTGAGCCCAGCAGTTTAAGGCTGGGGTGGCCGTGAGCATGCCACTACATTCCAGCCTGGGCCAGGGAGTGAGACTCCAACCCCATAAAAAAAAAAAAAAAAAGTCATTCACAAAAGAATACCCCTAAGCTTTTTTTTTTTTTTTTTTTTTAATCTTTTCAGTTTGAGTCTTACTCTGACATCCAGGCTGGAGTGCAGTGGCACAATCACAGATAGCACAGCATCGACCTCCAGAGTTCAGGTGATCTTTCCACCTTAGCCTTCCAAGTAGCTGGAACCAAAAGCACCTACCACCATGACTGGCTACTTTTTAATTTATTGTAGAGATGAGATCTTGCCAAGTTGCCCAGGCTGGTCTCGAACCCCTGGGCTCAGGCAATCCTCTCTCCTTCGCCTCCCAAAGTGCTGGGATTATAGGCATGAGCCACCACACCCGGCCTTGGTTTTATAAAAAATGTCTTAATTAGGTATACATTCCAGGCTTTTTCCACAAAGGATGCATCAGAAATAAAGAGGAGCTGGGCTCGGTGGCTCAGCCTGTAATCCCGCGCCTTTGGGAGGCTGAGGTGAGTGGATTGCCTGAGCCTGCGGGTTCGAGACCCGCCTGGGCAGCGAGACCTCATCTCTACAATAAACCAAAAAATCAGCCAGGCGTGGTAGCGCGTGCCTATAATTCTGGCTACTTGGAAGGCTGAGGCGGAAGGATCGCCGGAGCCCAGCAGGTCGAGGCTGCGGTGGACGGGAACGGCCACTGCACTCCAATCTGGGTGACAGAATGAGACTCCAACTCAAAAAAAAAGGAAAAAAAAAGAAATAAAGAGGTGTCAGGAGGGTTATAACCAAGGATCATTGCAAAAGAAGGTCATAACTTTTCCTTAGTCTCTCTTTACCAACTATTCCTCTCACTCTACATTTACTTTTTTTTTGAGTTGGAGTCTCACTCTGTCGCCCAGGCTGGAGCGCAGTGGCACACCCACAGCCACCACAGCATCGATCTGCTGTGCTCAGGCGATCCTTCCACTTCAGCCTTCCAAGTAGCCAGGCTGTTTGCTCTTACCCTCACTTAATCAGGATTTTTTTTCCTTAAAAAAAGTAGAGAATATTCAAGGCAAAGAACACTGAGGGAGACAGACAACCAGGGAAAGTAGAGGAAGCCATGAAAGTAAATGCAGCTGGGCACGGTGGTTCAGTCTGCAGTCCCAGCACTTTGGGAGGCCAAAGCGAGTGAACTACCTGAGCCCACGGGTTTGAGACCAGTATGGGCAACTTGGCAAGAGCTCATCACTACAATAAATCCAAAATTAGCCGAGCGTGGTAGCACGCACCTGTAGTTCCAGCCACCTGGAAGGCTGAAGTGGAAGGATCGCCGGAGCCCAGGAGGTCAACATTGTGGTGGCTGTGAGTGTACCACTTCACTCTAGCCTGGACAATGGAGTGAGACTCCAAGTCCAAAAAAAAAAAAAAAGAAAGAAAAGAAGCACTTGACATCATTTAACATAACCAGTCACAGAAACTTAACATTTTAGCATAAAACTTTTTTTTTTTTTTTTTTGAGTTGGAGTCTCACT